CATCACCATTTTTCTTTTTGTCGTAAAGTGTAATTACCATTCTTATTATCCGTTAAGTAATAAACATTTCACAGTAGCAACTAATCTCTTAAAAGAGATGGAAAGTTTATAAATTATAACATTAATTTAATTTGGATCCTAAAAATGATGGAAAATATCATAAAACTATTCTATTTTTGTTTTCTTTTTTAATCAGTTATTTATTTGAGAATATTTTAACGATATTATTTATTCACATAAATTTACCGTCAATTTACTAAACTGATCAAACTTTTCTACGAATGTGAAAAGTGCTTGGATATTTGTTTGGATAAGAGATTTTAATAACTTTTACTGTTTTCTGAATGGATAATAAGCCTGTCATCAACTACTACTGTCATTATAATAATAAGTTTTCTTTCCAAGAATATTTTTGGTCCTATTTACTTATTCATATGAATTTATCACTAAATTACTTTACTTAAGTATATTAAAAGACATGACAATATTTGAAGCAATATATTTAACATCCGTTTTATCACAATAAACTCACGTTCCCTTATTATTTATCTGCCCATATGTGATATCATATAACTGGTACTACAAAAACAATTGTCACTAACAGTTGTATCATGTCGTAAAAATTTTATTTATGTATATATATATATATATATATAAATTTTAACACAATACAAATGTTAGTGACCAGTTGTATGACACATGTGTACGATATGTGTGATATATAATATGTGATATGCAATATGACATTGATATCGCATATCATCAAGTGCTATTACACTGAAACTTTTTTACTTACTTCACTTACAATTTTGCATTTAATAATAAAATATGTTTTCAGTTAGATTAAAATAATTAAAATTCTATTTATTCGTTGATGTTTTTTTTTGATCGTTAAATTATAATTTCCTTCGTATAAACAGCATTACATAGGTAATTTTGCAGTGAATATATGGAATAATTAGAATGATGATTATTCGAGATCATTTATATTATTAATTATACTATGATAGGCATGCAAAATCAAAGTGATCGCAAGACTGGCGAAAGTAATCGTATAGTTATAAAAAAAATTCGCAATTTTTTGGAAAATACGACAACACATGGCATACGACATATTTTTATTGCAAGAAATGCATGTACTTCACGATTATGGATGTTTGGAATTACTCTATGCTTTATTATACTTGTCATACAAGCCTATCAATTACTAATGAAATTTACTCGTTATGAAAAAATAACCGATATTAAGGTAAGTAGTAAAACGGTAACATTGATTTTATCGCTATTTAAAATTAATTTTATCCTTTTTAAAAAAATAAGAAATTACGAAAATATTTTTTTCAGCTCAAATTTGATAATACACAATTTCCTGCTGTTACGTTCTGCAATTTAAATCCGTATAAAAAAAATTTGGTTCGATCAGTATCATCTGTTAAGGATACGGTTAGTTTTAATTTATCAATTATTAAAGATAATATGATTATAATTAATTGTTGCAAATTACAGGTGCTAGAAATTTCATAAAATATTTCATTAACATTTGCCGCTAAATATTTGGAACATTTGACGTTAAACTGAACATACCTAATTGTCATTCCGATTCTTTTAATATTTATGAATTAAAATTTACTTCATTTAACTTATGATAAGATATTAGTTTATTGTTGGAAGTATGTAGAAACAACCAAACTTTTCTCTTAGTGTAAAAATCGACAATATTTCATTTTTATTATATTTTATTTTGTAATTCAAATTTTTCGAATATAACTAAAACTTTTTTGTGTTTGCAACTTTATTGCACTGAACGATGCTTAGTTCGACGTTTAATTGCATGCATATTTTGTACAATAAATTAGCTATTAGCTGACGAAATTTTGAATGTAAATTTAATAAATTAATTTTGATTAACAAGCAGAAAACAGGTATTGCTTACAGAAAAGGGAAAAGAAACAAAACCTAATTAACTAATTAAGTTAATTTTTAATCTAACAAATAACTTTTAACAAATAATAAAATCTAACAAATAATAAATTTTTTAACAGACTGTCTTAAATTCGCATGAATTTAAACCTTTTGCAGATGGATGTTTATGAAAATGCAAAATTATTTCCCAAAAGTCCTATAAAGCAACAATTATCAATTGGAACTATTCTCAAACAATCTAATAATCAGAATAAAGGTTTGCCGATTGTCGTATTTCATAGGAAAATGATAAATGATGATTAAAACATAAATTACATATGACAAGAAAACGCAAAACTAATCACTCAATTACCATTAATGAATCTGAAATCATTCATGCAAATTAAATGAATAATGAAACTAATACATATTTTCCTACTGATACTGATACAATAACGATAACATCAACAACAACAACAATTGTTACTACAATAGATGCTATTTGTAATATTGATATTGCTTATACATTAACTCTATTTTCATTTTTATAGCTAGAAATTCCATAACTGAAATTAAAACATTTTCAGATGCAAGCGATCTAACACTAAGGAGTAAACGAATGGTAAGATATTCAAATGTAATTTCCTAAAATTTATAATTTGGTAAATTTAAAGAAGTAATTATATAAAAGATTTCAACTATTAATAAACATTTTTTTAATTTATTTTCACTTAATAAATATTATTTTATGGTACACAGTATTTTACACTTTTGAATAAGATATTATGTTTAAAATTCTTTTCGGTTGCTTTCAAATGAATTCCTTCTAATTAAAAATTTTAATCAACAGGTCCTTTGTCTTTTAAATTATTTGATAGCAAATTAATTGCTATGAAATTTTAAATATAGTATTTGTGCTTACAACTTAATTTGTTTTATTGTTTTATTTTAATATTTGTAATTTGATTTTATTTAATTCAAATCATTTCATTATTTCACTCAATAATTATCAATACTAATAACATTATTCATTGATGTTAAGTGAATTTATAATTTTGGAGGAAAACAATTTAATTTAAAATTAAATCATTAATGTTAAATATTGAGGCAGAGAAAAC